GTTTATAACTAAGTTTTCAAGTGATGACACAGTATGACAAGCTTCACAAATCATTTGAGATTTTTTTTTCTTTCTCCAGTGACTTGTCCGTTCACAGTTTCACACTGACCACACCTTCACCTTTTAATCAATAATAATAATAACCTGCGTTCACCTCCGTCGGCCTCGGTAAGGTTGCACTACCATGTTTGTCCACAAACATACACTGACATTTACCAGCTGTTACACATTAGGGCGCTCTTTTACACATTAGATCCAAGGAGTAGCAGTAGTGGAAAGCACCATACATTTACTCCAGTGCTGCACTTCCTGAGATACTTGTAATTTACTTGAGAAAGTGACTCTCTATTTTATACTACATTAAATTCCAGAGGGAAACCTTTTTACTCCACTACATTGATGTTTGAATGTCACTTTCGGCTTTTTCCCGTTAGGGGTCGCATTTTGACATTCGGCACGTGTGTTGCGCCGGATGCTCTTCCTGACGTAACCCTGACGTAACCCTGACGCGAACCCAGGCCGCAGCGGCCGGAGCGCTGCGCCCAAACTAATATAAGCAAACTGAAGAAATTCCATGAAATCTGATCAATTGTGAAAGCCATTTTTTGCAATTTTTAATCTTAATTATTTAGAAAAAATAATTTGAATATTAATTGATAATGAAAACAATCATTGCACACAATGATTCCTATTTTATATAATGAGAAAATCATTCTCTTCCTCCTTATTATTATCATCATCATCATCATTAGTGCAACTAGAATTACTGCCATTACTCCCTCCCCAAACAATAAGGGAGTCATTACAGTTTTGACAAAACTTTTAACACAGTTTAAATTATTTTCACTTCTTTGGTTGCACAGGAATTGCTTTGTCCTACATTTCACACCTAGCGACTTAGTGTGGAATGGAGGTCTGAAGCTGGAGGCAGATGCTCTTCTCACACAGGTAAACCTCAACCCACCTGGTCAGGAACAAGTTTCAATGCTGGAAGTTGTCATCTGTTCCTCACTCCTCTACCCAAATTATCCGCCAGCATGACAACATTGATTTTAGAGAAGGCTGCAGTGTGCACCATCAACAGGGCAGATGATCTGAAAGCCCAGCAATGCCTCCACTTCCTGAAGAGACTGAGGAAAGTGAACGCTCCCCCTTCTATTATGATAACATCCTTCAGAAGAACCATCGAGAGCATCCTGCATCATTGTTTGATATGGGAACTCTACAGCTGCTGATTGTAAATCCCTGCAGAGAACAGTGAAAGCAGCAGAAACAATCATAAGTGCCTCTCTCCCTTCCATAGCTGACATCTGCACAGACCAGTGTGTCAGAAAGCTCATCAACATATTGACTGATCCCTCCCATCTCTACCACCACCTCTTCACATTCATGCCATCTGAACCAAAGCATCCGTGCAAGGTCCACCAGACTGTGCAAGAGTTGCTTTCCCTGGACTATCAGAACTCTTGAACACTTTCCAAATGTTGCCCCCCATCCCCTCCATGGGATACTAACACACTAGCACTTGTATTCTATGCCACCTGGTCTTTATACATGCATCAGCACTTCCTACATGGTTTTATTTTTTTATATGTGTCTCCCATGTATGCCAAGTGTCTTATGGAAGTGACACATAAACCTAATTCTAATTTTGATTACATACACTCTGTCAGCATGCGGTAATGGTTTCCTTCCTCACTCGGTTTTCACTCATATTGCTGAGCACTGATGTGACACAGAATTCATACTGGTAAAACAGTCTGAACTGAGCCAGTAGAGATTCACTTGATGCTGCCTGCCAATTTAACATGAAGACACATATCACACCCTTCTGCTTGATCACTATGGTGATTTAAACTTTCTAACATTTAATATAATTAAATAATTCAATTGTTGGCCACCAGCACGTTTGCCAAACCACACTGGATATAATCCAAACCTCCAGAACAATGCTAGTTCTATCAACACAACAAAAAAAGGGGGCAGCTGGGTCTAATTTTTTCTGCATGCGGTACTATGACGCATTGTTTATAGTGGTATCATTTCAACTAACCAGTGGTATGTTTACACAATGTTCTCTGTTTGTGCATAGCGTGAAATGACACATCCAGAACCAGACATGTGTTTATAGTATGTGTGTAATGCAGCATGCTTACTGGTACTTTTTTAGAGCTGTCATGGTCGCAGATGAGCCTATAATCCAAGAAGCCAATATATTAGTGCCCCTCAGAGAAAGAACAAGTATTTGAATATTTTACCACTGTGTAAAATATGATGTTACAAATATACTGTAAATCGTGCGTTCTGTTTTACTTATTCAGTAAAATATAAGGCAAAATATTATATCAGAAGTGCAATTTAGTTTCCTAAAAATGCAGAACAGCCTTATTCAGAGTGTCAGAGAATTATTGTATCTATTACATGGTAGGTACATACATTTACTTTTGTAGCTGGTCAAGGTGGAGCTAATTTTAACAATTTTTTAAAACTTATTTTATTGACTTTTTGCTGCTAATTTACTGTAAATAACACTAAGCTGAAAAATATGTGATACCTACAATTGTAAAATGGGGAAAACTCTGTTCTTCTACTGCATTACTTTGCAGTAAAAGAACAGAGTTGAATAAAGAGTGGAAATACTCAAGTACCTCAAAATTATATTTAAATGAATGTCCTTTTTTACATTCCATCACTGGACCAGAGACTGTGTTGTATAAATTTTTTTTTATTTTTGTTCATGTCATTTTTATTAGTCATTTACACAGCTGCAAGGCGTGGTTAACACTGTTGAAACGGTGAAACAGTTGTCAGTATAAAAAGAATATGTTCGTATATTGAAGACATTTGAGACACATGATTCATATTCTACAGTGCAACTGCTAACATTACAGTATATTCAATGTTATTTACATGACAGAAAGTATATAGGATGATTGGCTGTCTGTCCAGGTGGCTGATGCAAGACAAAGTGTATGGAGATACCTAAAAAAGTGTCCATATAAAAAGTAAACTTATTATGTAGTAGATTATAAAAGGCCTGATACTGTGACAAGAGTCTACTTCACCTGTGATTATTGTTTGTGTAGATATCTAAAAGAAGAGCAAAGATGAGAGCATGCAATGTGGACAAGAAGCTAGGACTATGTGTCTGATCCAGAAATGGTGGTCACACTGGTCAAAAATAAACAAAAATCTTTAGATCATAATCAGCTAAAGGAACTCGAGGAACAAGAAGGGCTAAGCACAGTAAGTCCAGGGAGGAACTTAAGAAAATACAGAACCCAAGGTTTCACACTGAGCAGCAGG